AACACAACAAAATAATTCCAACCAAGATAATCTGAAACATCTTTCTCAATTATAGATAAAAGACCAGCGTCAACTGATCTGTAAATTATTAATCTGTTTTATTTTCAGAAGCCAAATAGTATAACACTGACTGTCCATTGTCAAAAAGAAAAAAAAGCTTACAAAATGTATGAAACAGCACACTACAAAGGACATCCATTCAGTTTAACTTGGAAAAATGTTCTGCTAACTACATGGAGATCCCACACTTCACATTTAAAAGCATCCATCACTTGCCATAGTCATCAAAGAAAACTTAGATAAAAATCACTGAGTTAAATGAATAAAAGCTATGATATGAAAACAACATGACACGCATTTTTCATTAAACTCTTCCAATACTGTCTTTCAGTGGGAAAAAAAAGTTAAAAGAGAATTTGAGGCACACCTAGATTACATGTGTGCTTTCCGTATCATTTATTTGCATGTTTAAGAAAGCTGAAATCCTTTCTTCCCCATGAAAACAGTAAATGAATGCATTTCTCTTCTCCCAAATATTTTTGTTCTGGTCTCTCTGTCAATTACTCATTTTTTCTCTTTTTCCACTCACTACCTCACCCAAATTTATGGAGCATGAGAAAAATGCCAAAAAAGCAAACCAACAAGAAAACAACAAAAAACTCTAAAACCAAGATCCAAAACAAACAAAAAAACCCTAAACAATCCAAATCTCAAAGATAAGTATTTTTTTAGTGCTAAGTTTTCTTCCTGGGCCTCAAATACCACCCTTGAAAATTAAGACTACATAACATTACTGATGAGTAAGACTGTCTTTTTGATTTAGAAACCTGCCATAAGTGTCATTCTAAGAAATGAACAAAAAACCCAAACTTGAATGGAAACTAGCAATTTAGAAAATTCTAACCTGGAAGACTTGACTTGTTTGGTAGTATCCCTTCAACGTGTTCCTCCTTCTCATCACAGGGATCCTCTTCATCAGACAGCACCAAGAAAGCCTCTTTTGGCAGACTTTCATTGCTTTCCTGCTTGGATGGTGAACCCAAACAATTGTCTATTTTCTCTTCTAAATCTGGGACTGAGTCATCCCCTGGAAGCAGAGAACTTTTACTAAAACAGCTCAGATCATCTTCAGCAGGGGCTAGTTTTTCCAGAATTGGAATAATGTCATCTGTTTCCATACAGTCAGTATTGTCCAAGATGCTTTCACTTGGCTCATCTATTGCTTTCAAAACAGTGGTTTCTGGAAGTTCTGCACTGCCTTCTTGTTTTTCCAGGTCAGCTTCCATACTGCTAGAGATGGCTGCTTCTCCAACAGTCTCTTCAACAGTTACATCTTCAGTCCTCCTTCCCTCACCAGATGAACTGGAATTAACAGGTAAGTCATTTGTTTCTCCCTTCTCTTCAGAAGAGTCACTATTATCACCAACTGATTTACTTTCACCTTCCAATGGGATATCATTCTTTCTTTGGTCCAAATGATCTTTTTTATTATTTTCTTCATGGAAGTTATCTTTACTGCTACCAACTCCATTTTCAGCCTCACATTTTACTGCAATGTCAGTATCTTTAGCTTGCTCTAGAGTAACATTTTCTGAAGACAGCATTAAAGGTTTGGATTCTATGTCATTGGCTATGTTTTCTCCCCTACTTTCAGGGCTTTTGGTCTCACTAATTTCATCACAAGCTGCTCTTCTTTCTTCAGAGTTAACACACAAGTCAACCATACCATTAATTTCTTTCTTGTCTTCTGTACAGTCTGTATTGCTTAAAAGGGAATTTATATCAGAATCTCCATTCTCATGTTTTCCATTTAACAGTTTCACTTCAGTTGTCTTCAACAGCTCCTCTTTAACCTTATAGACAGCTTCGAGTTGTTGCCGATCACTTACTCTCATTGTTTTTCGTGCTTTAAAGACTTTTCTCTGAGGTTCCTCTGTGCTATCCATCTTAGCCCTTAAAAAAATTCAGAAAGAACTGTGAAGATAAAAATTTATCATTGTCATATTACACTACTACTAAGAAAATCTGTAATGTTTAGCACGTTTTAAAGTAAAGCAGTTGAAATGTCACTGACAAAAACAAACACCTGTCAACACTTAAATTTTATCTGACTTACCAAAAAGTAAGTTCTATATACTGAACAAACACATTTATGCAAAGGTCATGCTGTAATATTCTAACAACGCATTTTTGACCACTTATAGTGTTCTATTAAAAATAGGTATTATAATAAGGTAAGAGCCAGCAGCCTCTCTTCTCATAAAAACGTAAAAATAAATGTAAACTGAGAGATCAAGAATATTTCTATCCTTCTAAAAATATTTAATTTAATGTTTCAAACAGAATCAATAACTCTGGTAAATGACAAGATTTTTGTAGCAAGTGACTTTTAAGAAATCATCATATACAACGAATTCCTCAATGCATTATTAAGATACTTTTTTCTGCATAAAATAAAATAGACTTTCATCCTCCATATCTATACAATGGCTAAATGAACTTGGATTTTTAGGCCGCTTTCATTCAGTTTGCAGCAACATTTTACTAAGACTATTTGTGGCCACAAAAACTACAGGTATTGGAGCACCTTGTTGAAAAACTTCCTCTTTCAAGGAAAACTGGTAGGTTTGCCCTCAACAGTTATATTCATTCCATCCATCTACACAAGTATTAAGAAAAATAAAAATATTTATAAAATGTGTAATAAAAATGTTAGAAAATCTATTTCATCAAATCAAAACACAGGGTTAAATCCAGAGTTACCTAGGAAGCTGTAATTATTTTGCTGAAATACAACGAAAACTGATTTAATCTGTTTCCATAAAACAAAACACATCCATAGGGATTTTTAAAATACCTCTTTTCCCCCATGTGCTCTTGCTTAATGGCCTTGTTTTAAAGGATTATATATGAAAAAGTTTAGAAGCAGAAAGCAACCAAGGAAGTTCTTATATCCTAAATATAACTCAACAACTAAGACCTTGAATCAGCTGGTGCTAACCAATTTAGGTCTACTGAAGCCACAAACCATCGTAAAGTTACTCCTACCAAGCATACAGCTTTAAGTTTCTGAAAAGCATGCAAAAATTCTATTAACAGTAATTAAAAGAGAAAATAATCAGGCAGGTATTTCAGTATGACTATTTTCCTCACAAGGACCAGATAGGCAAACGTTTATAACACTGACAAAGCAGAATTATTAGACAAAGGATGCCCTTTAAATACTTAGTATGATTAATTTGTGTCAGCCCCCAATTAATTTTCATTTACAGAGCTAGGAAATTCATTAATAAATTGCATTTTGTCTTATCAGGTGGGATATAAATAATTTTAAAGTTTTTTGGTAAAAGAAATCAGGACTACAGCCAACACTAGCCCAGATCAATGACAGTTTTGTGTAACCACAAGTTCAAGACCATTTGGACAACCCTCTCGGGCAGGTGGAATGATTCTTGGGGTTGTTCTGTGCCAGGCGAGGAGTTGTACTTCATCCCTGTGTGTCCCTTACAACTCAGGATATTTAACAGTTCTGCAATTCTATGAACCAAGCTGCAAAAATCAGAACACAGATGCCACAGCCTCTGAATAACAATTTGGCTCCACTCCATTTTGTAGCAAACCTCATCTACAAGTTTTATTTAGGCATTGCTAAGACTGCCCTTTAGCCTTCTCTTCAGCAGACTGAATCTATCAAGCTCCCTCAGCATCTCATTATGGGTCACATGCATTAGCTCTTATCATTTTGGTCTGCTGGATCTTTCCTAGTTTATTTGAAACAACTTTTTTGTGAAGGAAATTGTTTAACATTTATCCCTAACTACAATATTCTACATTGTAAGCTAAGTATATATATTCTGAAGTACAGTATGAATTCTACTGTAAACACCACAGTCATGATGTACCATACATTACAATTTTAAGACTTATTTTATACTTTCCTGACAAAAACAGGGACAAGAACAAAGCAATTTTTTATATTTCCTTTTAACTTAACACTGAGCTTCCCTTACACTTTTTTCAGTTCTTTTCCACAAAACAATCTAGAATCTTCAGATTTGAGTTACTGATAGTACTTAACACTTCAATTCACACCTCAGGAACAGATGAAGAAATTCTGACAAAAAGTTGTATCAGGTCTATTTATGGACTCTCAATAATACCATTATGACAACTTTTTTGCCATTGTGACCTAAATTTCCGGAACTAGATTGTCTACTACTGCATTGCCACCAGTGGGAGCAAAATACAACACCTACAGAAATACTGATCTGAAACACCACTTTACCTGAGATGGAAAAAAGTTCTCATCACATAACCATTTTCAGTCAGATGACTTATGAACTCCAGGTGAACTGTTAAACCTTTCCAGAGCTGTCTACATGCTAAATACAATTTCTTCGTATTCCTTCAGAAGAGAATACATTTAATGAAAGAATTTTAGACCTGAGGGTAACAAGAAGAGTGTAAAAATCTCTAGTATTTTGGAAGTGTAAGTGCAGTTTTTGGAAGCACATCCCTTCCATCTTCCCAAGAACTCAGAATGAAGGACAGACATTTTCACATCATTACAAAAGCATGTACCAGACTGTCATGTAATATAATACTGACCATCATACTCACTCACGTTCCATTCATATAAACCCCTATAACCAGAACACATGCTGCTACAGATTTTTATCTTGTAGAGGCAATTTGGAAAAAAAAATCAGGCTTGGCTAACCTTGAACAAGTCCCTAATAGGTGATCCACTAGTGAGAATCCTCTGGTAGCACAATACAAGAACAGGGCCCCTGCATCAGAATTAAATAGGATAGTTTGATCTCTCAGACTATAGTGTTTTCTTTTATAGGCATTACCCAGACTTTACAAAATATATTACTAAATTTGCAGTCTAACTTTTTCTATGGCCAGAAATACACCACAATGTAACATTTACAAAGGTCTTAAAATCAAATTTGTAAGTACATCACTTGAATAACCATATAATGTAAAATAAATTAATATTTGCTGTTCTAATTTCCTTAAGTCATCCAAGCAATCTTTCAGGAATATTTTTAAAATAGAGTACATACAAAGAAAATAAAGGACACTTCTTTTTACATTTGCCAAGAAAAGCAGTCTTAAAATATTCAAACATTAGAATCCCTTTACACTGATGCATCCTTACTATTTTATTAAAAAAAATAAAATTGGATGAACAAGCTTGAATTGGTAATGTATTTAAAAATTATGTTCGCTTATCTTGGAATGTTATCCAAAAATCTAATTAAAAACAAAGCACTTACACAATTCTGGAGAGAACCTGTAGGAAATACAGGCTTCTCAAAATTCCATTGTTAAATGGTTATGGGAGTAACTCATGCATGTTTTCCCAATCAATCCCACAATATTTTGTAGCCAAAGAGTATTTGATTAAAACTACCCAAAAAATTACATGAAAAGTACTGTGACAAAATTATAAGCATAGATGAAATGAACCAGTGTTTTGGGTTCATCTTTTAACAGCGAAATATTTTGTACCAGGGCAGCCCAGTCTTTGAGCATTTCCAGCCATACCCACAAGGGAGCACAGTGCACGCAAAGAACAGATCTCATGTGAGAGTTTTGTGAAAGAGAAACAAATCAATTGTTAGCAAGTCCAGATAGGCTTGGTCACACCAGTGTTAGCCAGTCAGCCACCATCTGATAAATACTGGTTTCCAGTCTTTCAAAGAGACAAGGTGCACCCCTTCAGAGAGCAGCAGAACAAGACACATTAATTTAGTCTTGCACAAATAAAAGTAATCAAGGTACTAGTATTCTAAATGAATGTATTTTGATAGTCTCCCTTTACAGTTAACATGAAGTGCAGCTATGTTTGTTAAACACCTCCCTTATCTGATACTTGGGTGTTTTCTTTTTTTACTCATGGTGTGACAAAGTCACAAGGAGGAAACCAATGGTCCAGGCAACAAGCCAATAGAGGAGCACATTTTATTTCAACGAACAGCTTTTGTATGCATCAGCACAAAATTATTCCAGCATGTACAGCTACCTGTGTAAGGGTTAAATGCTGTAAATAAGGACATAAGCTTTGGACCGATTTTTTTTGGTTTGATTTTATTAAAGTCAACAATTTTGACAGACCAACATACACATTGTGCTCATTTGTTTGATACAAAAACTTCCTTTTTCGATTTAAGCTTTGAAGTCATGCATAATTAGTCATGTGAGACATGAACACATCATTAAGCACCTCCCTCCAAATTTCAGAAATTCTTATGACTAAATGTGTGCTAAATGGCACAAAATGTACAGCTGTGAGTTTGGGAGTGTCTCTCTTCTGAGCCAATAAAAAAGTTTTTCCTTTACGTTCTCATTTTTAGTTATCTTACTCCATAAAGAGACCACTGCTCTAAAGCAAGAAAGAATTCTATTAGCTGGTATGGATCAGCCTGTGATCACGTGCTCAGGTAAGCAGCCCATGAGCTGCTTAAAATGATAAGCCAATCAGCTAGGAGCTGCCTGACTCTGCCTAGTGACAGGCAGCAGACAAAGGGAAGGTCATGAGAAAATTAAGGGGGGGGGAAGGAGAAGCTGCAATCTAAACAACAGTGTGCAATGAATGGGGTTTGCAAAACATCGTGGGTCTAGAACAGCACCAGCAAAGGGCTCCTGGAGGGCATGCAGCACTAGCCAAATGTGCCACAACCATAAAACAGTTGCCAAAGCACAAGAACTATATGAAAGAAGCAAAATTCACTGATAATGATCATCAGTGCTCAAATGTGCAAGCCTTTTTTAAAATGTAGCATAGCCAAATCAAGGAAAGTGAGGCAGCAAATAGTCATGAATATTGTGTTCTAGATGGAGAGTTCCAGGGAATGAAAGTGGTGAATAAAACCTACCTTTTAAGTAGTGGTTCATAAAAAGCAGTTCTCAGTTGAAATCCTCCACAGCAATTTTGATGTAAGTTGTCAGAAATTTAAGAACTATTTTCAAAGAAGAAAAAAAAAGTACTTCTTGAGACCTATTCTTATAAAAGACATAATTAAATAATGCACCAATAATTTGGTTTTCTACCACTAATACAAGTCTACTGATCTGGCTGAATGGAATACACAACACCAGCCTAGTGAGCTTCACATATAACTGTGCCTTTGTTTTTAAATTTAATAAACAAAGTAGAAATCACATGATTATCATATGTGCAAATAATAGCTCTTCTAGCACACCACAGACGATTTGAGTTTTTGTCCCTGTTAGGCTCAAGTTATATGTTAGTGTTAGGAGAAAAATACACCATTTTCTAAGAAAAAAATTACGTCACCATCCTGCCCTATTTCACCTAGTGCACACACAGCAGAACAAGGTGAACTGTAATTAAAAACCCCTTTAGCTCATTTGTCCCCGCCACATCCCGAACTGCGGTTCGCAGTGCGGGGAGCAAGAGGCACGTTCCCCTGCGGCAGAGCCCTGCAGTGTCCCGGGCGCTCCCCAGGGGGCGCCCGCGGGGCCCCGCCGGCCGCAAACCGCGCCGCGGCGGGATGGAGTCGCAGAGCCGCCTCCCATTGGCTGAACGGAGCAGCCGCGCGGCAGCCAATCAGACGGGAGTGCCTTAAATTCCACCCAGCAACAAGCCCCACGCGGCAAACGTCGGGCGCGGGCACGAACGCGGGGGCGCGCATTAAACGAACAGGGGTTTCCAAACGGCGCGAGAGAAAGCCGAAGGCTTTCTGTCTGAGACCTGGAGCTGCACAACAGCGCTGACCCACGAGTGCGGGTGCACAGCCCCGATAAGGAGCAAGTGTTTAACGCGCGGGAGCATTTTTAGGCGATCACAGAATTCCTGCGATGTTGAATGCTGAATCAGAGAAACCGCTGAGATCCAACCTGGGTTCAAGTATGGCAGCTGGAAAACCTCCCTTTCTTCAGATGTTATGAAGTGACACTGCTTTTTTGGTATTCTAACAGAAAATTGGTGTTTTCTCGTGACTGCAGTATGACTTCTGCCCTGAAAGCAGAGGCCAATCTCCCCCACCTTTGCAAACTGCCATCTGAAATTCAGCAAAGCATTTAAGCCCACATATATATCAATGACGAAGAAAGACACCGACCTATATGGCAAAGCCTTCTTAAACCAGAGTAAAGTAACAGTACAGTTTTAAAGAGATTGCTCTTGTTTATTGTATATATGGTAGTGTCATGTAATAAACTTGAACTATGCACTTTTCACTTTGGTGTCACTAAGTTAAGCACTTGTTTCTCTACCTCAAGAAGATAATACCTCCTCTGACATTGGCTCATGAGCCTGTTTCCTATACTAAATTTTTGAGGTGGTTTTCCCCATGAGGTTCTGATGCCTTGTGGAAAAAATGAATGCCTTATGGGACACAAATGACTGACAGGTCTATTTACGTGGCTAAGGTATTTCATCTGCTGGTGGCTTTGCAGAGTTCTTATATGTTCTTTTGCATGTTCTTACATGTTTCATAACTTTATGCCTAGATAACTGCATTCTTTGGAACATGGAAGAATGGAAAAGTCTTTCCTAGACAACTTTTACAGGCAACTCAAGTCCCTTGGAAGCACCCACTATTTAGCACATGGAGCTTAAGCTGATTCTTCAAGATGATTTTATCTTTTTCTGTGTCCTGAATTTTAACAGCTACTCAGATTATTAAACTAGTAAAACTGCATACTGGAAGTCAGCCAGAGCAACAAGGCTGTGATAATGTGTTTTCTTACTTCCCACAAGTGTTAGAGATTTCAGTTTTTATCAACAATTCAAAACATCAGCTTTCAATTTAGCTGTGACATCTCCAAACACTAAAAAAATCCTGCTGTTTTAAACTTCTGCTGTTAAACTGTTTTAATATTCAGCTTTCTAACAAAGATTTTTTTTAGCACAAACTAAAATACTAAGGCTGTTTGGTGAAGTTTTTTTGTCATTTAAAAAAAAGGATTTACTGAATGTGAAGCTGAATTTCTGCATTTAAAGATAAATTTGATGAATATTATTATACACAGTCTCAAGGTTAGATTACAGTTCCATCTCTGGCATAGTATAAACAGCCTGAATTTCCTTAGTTACCCTTGAATATGAGTAGAACCTAATAATTCCACAGATGTCGCCATTAACTGCTAAAACACATCTACAGCTAAAAACGTACCAACTTCTGATATTATAAACTTAAAACCTGAACAACCTGAATTAATTGTTCATGCACATGCAGATAAAAAATATGACACACTGTGGAAAAAGAGGAATCTTAGAAAAAAGGCAAGATATTCTGATCATGCTTCAGCTTTTCTAAGCATTATACAGTATTTTTTCCTTCTATAAGGAAATTATTTGTAAATTTTAAATGTATAATTTTAAACAATTCAGCAGGCTACAACTTCGACATGGTATCACTACGATATACACATTTGCATCCCTTGTCTTCTGTTAGATAAAATGCAGAACAACACTACTGTAATGAAAAAACTAATGTATTTACCCTGAACAGTCTATTGCCTAAACTAGTTTCCGTATCACATATGCAACTAGCTGTAGAGGTGTAACCCCAGCTTTCCAACTGGCAGCTCAGTGACATCAGAATTCAGAGGTGAGCTACCTGATGCTGACAGTGGTCCCAAGAGTAACTTCTCAAATGCTAGAAGAAGTAGTGAAAAGAAAACTTGGAACAAAAGAGGCGATGCTGCATTGAAATGATACTAAGTCTTTGCCCCACATATAAGCATATTTTATGAGTTTTTTTTGCAAATATTTGAGTTTTCTCAGTAACAAAAAAGCAAGTTCAAAATGGAACTAAACCAGCAGTTAGTAAATTGGGTGTTGGAAGGATTATCATTATCTTCCCCGGGAAGACACTGTTTCTCACCAGGGGCAGCACACCTGCTGCCTCGACCGCACCAGACCTTCCCCCGCACAGGCGAAGCACATGGGATAGAAGAGGCACGTAGCCAGGGCGCGAAGAAATCAGCTCTTCCATAAAATCATCCAGCTGAAGCCTGGTGGGGACTCTGAGATGTTCGGGGCAGGGAGGCTGTTTCCCGTTTTCCTCATGAAAGGATGAGTTTTCTTTCAGCGTCTGAGGCAGGCCAAGGCAGCACCTCGGCAGCCATCTTGTTCTCTCCTCGGCTCCCTACCCGATGGCGGAGACTGCCCGAGATTTGCATATCCGCTCGGGATTGGTTGCCGCAGAGCTGCTTTGCATAAACCAAATCTGCCTGGCAACAGGCTAAAAATAGCCAAGGCTGCTGCTGGGAGCGGCACCGCAGCAGGGCGGGAGCGCGGCTCGGCCACCGCCAGGGGCCAAGGCACGCGCAGCCATGCTAGTGTGACCTTGCGTGCTGGCACGGCGCACTTAACTCCCTCAGGGTTTCGGTGGGGCTTTTTAAATGACAAAATAAATTCTGAGGTTATTCCCCTTTCAAATCAGAACATGTACTGTTATAATCTGCACACTATATTCTTTCTCACTTTCGTTTCTTAGCAAGCTGGAACAGAAACCATCTTTCTTACTATAATACCCCCATGTCGTTTTGGTGAGATGGCAATGGGGTAATCAACAACACCTGCAACAAATGCAACCTAATCCTTACTAGATGTGGAGTGTTACACAAAGTTCTTGGCTCCTGAGTTACTCCGTGTTAATCATAACTCACTGCAAACACACCTGTACCATTCCTCCACTCGAAACTAAACACTGGGATTTGGAAGGGCAAGCAGGATGAACTAAGAAAAGAAACTGTAAGTAGAGAAGGAATCTTAAGAATAAAATTCAGATTCAAAATCAGGTCAGTAAAGCACAAAAACTTAAAGATATTATGTATATACATGTTCTATGATAGAAACTCCAGCAGTAATCTATATGTACATAATTTTACAACTTCAACCTACAAAATGGCAATCATTTACATAAGTTTCATTTTCAGCAGTACTGAACTGATAGCATAAACCCTTCTGACTGCAGCAGAAGCAACTGAAGAGGTTTCCACACCTTTCTATTCAGCACATCCGCCCCCAGGTTTCTGTTTCATGGAACTGGTTAAATGCAGGTGAAAGCCGACATTTTAAGATTAATGAAGCACACAGTGCATGCAGGACATGTACAGCTGTCTAACCTAGCTCTCTGGCAGCCTGAAACGTGCCCTCTGATACATATAGGTACACATAAGCCTGCTAGAATGAAAAAAGGGTCTTTTCTATAAGACTCAAAATTAAATAAGGAGAGCAGGAAAAAAAGTGGCCTAAGTAGGTGGTTGGTCACAGTGACCACTGAAGACATTTGGTATCTTCGGAATGAATCAACAAAACAGAATCACAAAAATTGAACAGAAATCTCAATAGGAAGTAAGCGAAGTGAGACAAAACAGTATGCATAAAAAAGCTTTAAAATAAAATTAGGGGGAAAACCCCACCATAACCACCACCAAACAAACCAAAACACACAGAATTTCTCATGAAAGCTAGAGTTTACCCGAACTTTATTACCCATACCTAGTGTTAGGATTGTTTGTCGCAAGCATTCTTTAAGGAAAGGCAGCTTACTACATATATATTAATTAGCTATTCCTAATGCATTTTACTAGCAATGGTGTCTCTACCATAAGACATTTTTTCATTTATCAGAGGCTAAATGTTTTCCAAAGGAAATTAATGTTGCAAAATGATAGGAACTAGAAAAGAAAATGTCAACCTAATATTCTATTCATTACTAGATACAGAAGAAGGGGAAAAAAAAAGGCACATTTTTAGTACTGGTAACACATTGTATTAATATGCTAAGGATCCTAGATAATGCAGGTAGTTCATGTTTTTACAATGATAAACAATCACTTTCTAATACAAGTCAATTTCTTACTCTACAAAGCATGCAACAACCAGAGTAAGATTTGCTCTAGTAAAAGTCTATAATGACAGATTAAATTCTCTTGGGTCAGTGGATGGAAAATTATTTTTATGTATTTGCTCTTAGGCAAAGATTTGTCACATTGCACACTTTTAAGGACTTGTAACAAAAATTACCCGATGCGTCATCCAAATAGTCCTTTAAATGTTTCATAATCTAATACGTAAGCAACTATTGCATGGATGATTCTTTAACTTCATCATGTCTAGAACAAGCTCTAGAGACCATATTGCCAGATTTAATTCTTTGCTAAGCTACCCAAGGAACAGGACGCAGGAAGTGAACAAACCTACAATTTCTTTATGAAGTTCTAATCATGGAAATAAATGATAAGAAAAAAAGAACTAGTCTTGAAAGGACCTTTAATGATGACAAGTAGCCTGAAAGAGTACCAATTCTTACTGTATTCTTCCTTTCTAGAACCTTTGACACACCCACCTACTCACCATACTTGCTGCACAGACAGCAGATGTATGATCTCACTGTAATGCCATTTACCTGACTTGTTAGGAGACCAAATGCAATATCCTAGATTTAATTGTTACAATATAAGAGACTCTTTTCTCATTACTTTCTTGTTGTCACACTTCCAAATTCAACACCAGTAGGAATCAATTTTGAAATGATGGCATACTAGTTTTAAGTGGCACAATTGCATTGATCTATACCAGCAGCACCTTAAGCAACAAAGCACAGTATTTTCATTTCTGAAGTACTTACACCTAATGCTAATAATTCTTGTCAACTCACACACTCTGAAGAACAAAGATACTTAAACAAAAACATAGGAAGATGAGAGTAATGTCCTGAAAGAGTAATTACACAGTTGATGGGAAAATCCTTTTTTATAACAGGTTTATACCAAAGTTTGGCTGAAATCAGTTGGAAGAATCAGGAAAACACAGGACTTGTGTGTCAATGTATGACATATACTTTTTTGTTTTTCTTTTTTAACAGAGATAACATGATCCACTGAAACAACCTTCCCAAGGATGTGGCAAAATCTCCATCACTAAGAGTTTTCAAAATGCAGTTGGACTGGATGCCAGATAATGGATGCCCATGTAGGCTCGCTTTTCCAAGAAAGACCAGACCACATGATCTTTTAAGGTCATCTCCAATCTAAGATTTTCTATGAACTGAGCTGTACAACTGATTTAATTACCAGAAGATCAGTATTAGCTGTCAGATATTAAAACCCCCTCTAAAATGGGACTTTTAAAGGTGGTCAGATGACTACTCCCATCAGTCTTCTGAAGGACTGTTACATCTTCAGCAAGAAAGCAGTAATTGCACCGTTGAGAAGGCACCTTTCAAGATAAGCAGTCTTCTACTAATAAGCTAAATCACTAAAAAAACCACAACAAAAAAAACCCTCCCTTTTTGACTATATTATATAAGTAGACACATTTTACATACTTCTTGCATTTTGTATTTATATAGATACATATGGCTGAAGAAAACATCATCAGATGGCTTACGGTAAGAAGTCTAAAATGGCAATTAGGTTGTGAACCTGAGGATCTAATTTTATTTGCATAGGGTTTTAAACTCAATTCTTGTGTACGGAAGCTAAAAAATATATGGAAACAGTACATCATTAGGCTGAAATAAGCATAAATGAACTTATCCATAAGGCAATTTTCTCCCAGAAAAACAAATTAATCTTGTTTGCTATCTCTGGTCAGATACGCAAGAAAGTTCCCATTCTTTGGTCAACCAATAGAATTAGTAGTTCATTTTGCATCCTTAAGTTCATTTTTTTGACTGGTTAGTCTTCTGACATGGCTATATAAACCATTCAGTAAATATTGCTGCTAAAAATATAGAGAAATATATTTAAAGACACTGCAAAGAGTATTAAGTTTGATAAGCTCCTACAAAGTACTTTTCAATTTCTATTTATGAATATCCATAATGACAACATAGACAAACAGGATGTCAAATAAAAACTGCTATGAATGTTTTTGTTTTTAGGGCAAGGTACACTACAAAGCACAAGAATCTGATTCTAGAAGGGAAAGGTTATTTTGGAAGTCCAGGCTAGGGGACAGCAAGCAATGGACCAAGCCTTTAGTGCCTGTCAAAAACATACTGCTTTTTTTGGGTGGGTTTTTTAATTCTAAGAACTGCTATGAAAAAATCAGGATAAACTTCAAGTGCAGGGCAATACAACACATGTTTTGCATAAACTCCTCACACCAACAAAACTTGAATAAAATGAACACTCTTAAAATTCCCAGAAATTTAAACTGTGTTTTCATACATACATTTCAGCTATCATAACCCATCTTCTACCTGCAAAATTTCACTTCAAAAGAATGTTCAAAACAGCTCACAACAATTACGAAGTTAGATTTCAAAATATGGTGCAACGAGGAATAGTATCAAAATCAATTTATATTATTCAGATATAATGAAGTACTTTTTTTCCCCCGTTCCGCAACTGCAGCCCAT